GGGGGGGGGGGGGGGGGGAATCTTTACCATTTACTCAAACAGAGGATAGTTCCAAGTATTGCTATTCAAATACTGCCTTTCTTTACAAAATATAAGACAATTTATTATTACAAAAATAAAAGCAATTTATTATTACAAATACAAAACAAATTTATTATCACAAAAACAAAATTTATTATTACAAAAAACAAGACAATTTATAATTTGTAAGAGTTTTGTAAATTAAAAGCCAACCACTGATCATCTTTTAGTCATTTAATTATTAACTTCTTATTTTCCCTTCTAGGGTGCCATAAAGCTCCTTTTTGTTAGGATGAAAAAAATGAATGGTTATTCTGATAATCATTTAGCAGGCTAATATTTGAGATCTAAAGTGTACACAATTAGATATATAAAAATTGTTTATTTAATATTTGCTGTTCTCCAAATGTTGATGTTTTCTTGTAGAAGAGATTTTCTGTTTAAGTTGCCCTAAATGACAAAAGATGGCTGGAAATTTTTCCTTTTTTTTCGTAGTAAAATGTTTAATTTTTATTGTGTACAAAATAAGGTACAAAATCTTTTAAATATTGAGATTAGTTGATTCCTTATAAAAATGTAACGATGAATAATCATTTTTATAAACTGAGCTGTTTCATTTTAGGTTACTATAAATCAAGTTACCCCAAAAGTGAACTAACATTGATTATCATTTTCAACATTGTGCTCATATATCTTTTGATCTATATAATCAAATGTTGTACAATTTTGTTTGATTACAGGTTTTTTTTTCTAAAGATAAAAAGTATTGATGTTGAAAGGAAACTACTAATTTGTTCTTGCAACAACACAATGCTGCTGACAAGTTGATGATCAAAATGACAAGAAAGGTGTTGGAAGGTTTACATCAATGACGCTGGTCTCGGCTTCCGTGAAATGAAAGATATGTGTGCATTTGTGGCAATAACTCTTTCACTGTGGATGGAAAAGTATCTTAAAGTATTTCTATCAATACACTTTCTCTGATAGACCTAGACCATGAAGATGTATTGATAGGACCTGACAGAATTGAAGAGGTGCATGCCTGTGTGGGGACCACTGCTTACATTCCTTGGCCGCTTGATGTCATCTCAAGGGATGGCCACACATCCACTGTCATAACATTGTCTTTCCAACGCAGGCACAGTGAGAAATCAGTGGTCCTTGCCACATTCAACGGCAGGAGAGAATTAAAACCAATGATAGACAGGTCTGTTTTGCTTTCTCCGTATCATTATAAAGATTGCCAATAATTAGCTTTAGATATGTGAGTGCTATGTTTTGTCAGATATGTTAAACAAAATAACATACACGCTTTCTAATATTACAAAATATAAAGTTTTGCAGCAATACTTACTTTGAGTCATTACCATTGTTTGTATCTAACCTTATTATTCTCACAGATTGAGTGTCTCTAGGGAAAACTCTGGCATTTATCTAAAGAATGTGAATATTTTTGACCATGGGCTTTACATAGCACAGGCACGGTACAGCAACAACGAAATGTGGACCAGGATAACCAACTAGACAGTTCATAGTTAGTTGATTCCATTAAACTTATTATGTTAGCCTCAGCTAGGAGTAATACTACTGAGTCAGCAGACCTGAGTTTGGCTGAGCTAGGAGTAGGTTGATAAGTATTGTAGGCTTTCCAGCTTGTAATGTTAGTCCAGGATATTACTATTGTCAAGATTTCCCTGTGCCTGATAATTTATAAAGCTACCACAGCCCTAAAAAAACCTCTGTCTTCACAATGCTTCTTTATCTGAGTAAATTGATCCATGACAATGCTATCCGTCCAATGACATCATTACTTTACTCTACAGTGTGTCCCATTGTCATTAACAACAAGCTGAATATGAGCCAGTCAGAAGTTATGGCTCTTTACAACAAGCGGAGTCACTGCGTCAACATGACGTGTGGCAGACTTGAATATGCGGGGTATCCTCCTGTCAAGTTTGTTTGGGCTGTAAGTTTCCGTGTTTGTTGTAGCCGGCAATACAAGCTGTTTTTCCAATGTTAAGTGGTGTACAGGGGTTAAATTGAATACACATACATAATTTTTTAATAGCCATTCTTAATGAACTCGAATGGTTTGCTTTTCATACTAGATAATAAAAATCTATTTAAAAAATATGTTAGGATTAAAAGAGGTTTGAGCATCCTGGATTTCAAATTGTGAGAATTTCCAGAAAACTGGCCACCCTATGTTATCACTAGGTGTTGATGCTATCTGGCAACTCTGAGGCTGATGCTGTTAGTTTTATTGTTTCACTAATTGGTCAGTGGTAACAGTTGCAAAGATTGTTTTGTCCGTTTTGCCACAGGCACCATCTAAGACACTAGATGTCAAGGTTGCCAGAGACGACTCTTCAAGCTCTGTACAGATTTGCTTTACCTTTTTCTGGTGATGTGACATGTTCTATAGCCGGGTACTCTTCCATATGTACAGTTCATCACCTGGTCAATTGGCACTTAGACTTGCCAGGTAATGCCAATGGTTAATTATTCATTTCACTTAATGTGACTATGGACCTGATGTCTATTTTTTAAAACTTCATTTCTAACTACTTGAAGTGAAGCATAGACAGTTCATATTCCCACAAGCATCTAGTTGACTTGGAAATAAAATATAAGAATTTTGTTGATATTTTATCTTTCAGTTTGAGATTTTCAAAAAAAAAATATTGAGAAATGAAAATGAAAGGGATAATCATTTAGATTGTGTTCATTATAAAGAAAACAAAATAGCACCTTCATCAAATATTTTGTTTTATAGAACAGTTAAAAATTAGAACTTGTTTTAAATAGTTGACCTCTTTAATACAGGGCCCTTAACAGCAGTAGCGTTCATGACGCAACTGTGACGCGTGACCTTGTGCTGATGATCATCATGCCAATATTAGCAGTGACTATTCCAGTTACAATCCTTGTACTCTGGCTACTCCGCCATTTCATGAGGTCCCATTCCCATTACAGGGGTCAAGATCATTATGGAAAGTGAGTGTCATGAGAATGTTCTTGTTGGTAAAAAGGCATAGATATCATGGTTTTGCTTAAATCTAAACAATGATTAAAGTTAAGTTTTTTCAAGTACAATGTATAACCAAAGAAAGATTTCTGCAACATTTCAGTTTCCTGGTTGAGTAGGAATTTTAAAGTAGGTGATGAGTGAGTAATGGCTTGTGTGGGAATGTTTATAGTCAGAAGCCTACATAGACATACGATAAAAAAAGAAATTACAGTGCCAAAAATAATTTGATGTCTTTTAAATTATTTTAATTTCTTGTTTTTTTTTCTTTCTTTAGTAGGAAACCTGATGATGTTGATGTGGAAGACAACATGATCATGATACAAACGCCCAACAACGGGGAAGAAAGTGATGGCGAGAGTCAGACGGAGAGGAAGGAAGCGATTGATGACGAGGAGAATGATGACGAGAACGAGAACAACAACGAGGATCACAATCCTCACGCAGACGGTGAGGAGCGGGAGGAGCAGGATGAGGAGAGGGACGGGGAGGAAGAGGACGAAGAATCCGAAGATGACAGCAGCAGCAGTGATGAGGACAACAAGGTCAATGAGGAGCAGCCACTCATGGAAGGTAATGGGGAAACAAGATGGGAGTTGCCACCCTTGGTATATCTCCACCAGGGGTCTGTGGGCCAGGAAAGGGGTCTATGGCCAGGGGCCTATGGGCCAAGCAGTCTATGGGTCAAGCAGTCTATTAACCAAGGGGGCTATGGCCAGGGGTCTATCGTCATGGGTCTATAGACCACTGTGATAGAGCAATAACATTTTCTGTTTTAATGTAGACTTATTGAAATCGTATAAATGTAGGCCAAGGCCATACTGAAAGGGCAATAAAATGTGCTGATCTAATAAATATAACTGTTTTAAAAATCATCTGATCCAATGTGGGTCTGGAATTAAGATTTTGTGATTGTGGGGGGAGTGCGGTTGGATTAATTAGTTAATTAGGTTCCCCCATCTTTAATCAAATTATTGGGTAAGCTACAAAACAGGTGGTGTGTTTGCTACTTTATGTGGTGCCTTCGATGCTCTTTTACTAGGCCAAGTGTATTTAGTTGATTATCTGAATATTTAGAATAAGAGAATTGTAACATTTTTTTTACTAGGTCAAGTGGAATTAGTTGATTATCTGAATATTTAGAATAAGAGATTTGTAACATTTTTTTTCAGATTGTATAAGTCCAGATGCATGATATATTTATTAGTCAACTAAACCACACAAAAAATGCATTGAGAATTGTTGCACAGCAAGGCACAGGTGGGAAATGTTGCACAGCGAGACACAGGTGGGAAATGTTGCACAGCAAGACACACAAACAAAACACTGTCATGGAAATTTAACACTGACATCTGTATACAAGGAGGAAAACAGGAAGTGTGGTTTTCAGATTGTCGGTAACCACCAGTGATGGCAGCAGACAACCCTTGGCCTTAACAAAGACACAAGACCTATCGGAGCTACACTTTCTCCTATGCCCACTAACTGCCTTCAAACACTCCTAGGGCATCTGTGTGCAAGCAGGCTGGACTGACTGAAAAATGTGTTGATTGAATCTTTAAGTGAGTGAACCTTTATGTGATTGAAAATTGACCTGCTCATCTTATAAGAGACATTATATATAATAATACAGTTGTAGATCAATTGAAATTATTGCATGTTTCTGTTGGTCCAGTAAGAGATTTGCTTTTTAGTACACATTTTCAACTGTCGGTTGAGAGTTTGTATGTGACCGTCAGCTTAAAGGATTAATTAATTGCAATTTTTTTTATTATTTGGACACAATGAAATAATTTTACTTTTTAAGCAGGGATGTCATATTTCAAATGTGAAATTTCATTGTCAATATTAGATAACGCAGCCAACAAACATAATCTAATTTTTTTATAAAGACAACCAATATGAGATGTCCTTTCTTCTGAGGTAGGCGCTTAGACAAAAGCTTAATTTCTTATTGTCTTGTCTTTTGATTCAAGCTTCCACATACCTTGTCCTTTCTATTTCTTTGACACAGCTTGAACGCAATTCATCATTGATTACATATATCAAACAGTATTTTCTACATTTTTATAATTATTTCATATATATTTATTCTATTTTATTAGAACAACTGACCTGGTTAAATAATATCTGTTGTTAAATACAGCTTTACCTGGCTAATGCATGTTGTTAAACCTGACAACAGCCATAGCACAACTAGATCTTTTCCACCATATGTTGTTGACCCGCCCACCCCACCCTTAATGTTAGAGATGGTGATTACTCGTTGGGGTATGTTCTGAGAGGTTGTGATACAGACAGTGGAGTTTATACTCACCTGATCAAATCTTTGCTTCTTTTTTGTTTAAGACAGGACTTGAGCACCAAAGACTGAATTGTAAATCAAAAGTGTACCGGCATTTCAAACAAATCAATCAGATGTTAAAAAACATGCTGGAGCTTTAACTTAACATTAGCGTGGCACCTCGTCACGTGACACCTTGTCATACACCTTGTCACGTGACACGGGGGTCACATGACTTATCTAACATCTTCAGTCTTAATCTTAAAATGAAATCATGCAGATTTTATTCAAAATGCATATTAGTTAGTGAGTTACAAATGTATAAAGATATGAATTTTAATGTGAAAATTGGAACATGTCAATATTTCTACACCTTTCAATGTAAATTAAATTTGATTTTATTTGATAAAAGAAACTACAAACAATTCTTACCATGTTTTTCTATTTAAAAAAATTATGGATTTATTCTTAGCCCTTTTTTTGGATACCTTTTCACTATTTGTCTGGATTTTCATTTGTATGTAAAATTCCATGTTATGAGAATTTGTTATAGGAATATTTTTTTTAAAGATAAAATGCACTGTTTAATTATAATTTAAAATGTAAAGAGTCATAGACAGCATCGTATATCATAGCTTGTCTTAAAGGGTGAAATATATTGTGGCATGCAAGCCTTAAATTTTCTTTAGAAATTTATATATTTGTTTGAATGAAAATTTGATTTTTCAAAAAAAACAATTTTTTTTCCACGATGATTGTAAGTAATTAGGTTTGAGCTTTCTAGCATGTTTTATTAACACTGGAGCTGTTTTTTACCCCAGAAAAATGAAAGAATAATTTTGGGTGTACAAGACCTTGTGAATGTTCCCTACAAGACCTTGTGAATGTTCCCTACAAGACCTTGTTAGTTTTTCCTACAAGACCTTGTTAATGTCTCCTACAAGACCTTGTGAATGTTTCCTATAAGACCTTGTGAAAGTTTCCTACAAGACCTTGTGAATGTTTCCTACAAGACCTTGTGAATGTTTCCTTACAAGACGTTGTGAATGTTTCCCTACAAGACCTTGTGAATGTTTCCCTACAAGACCTTGTGAATGTTTCCTACAAGACCTTGTGAATGTTTCCCCAAAGTTAAGCGTCACATTAATCAGCTCAAAGTACTTGCAAGGTATTCTGAAAAAATTTCAGCTTCTTTAAAGTATACTAGTATCTTTGACATATACAATTGTCAATGTTATTAACTGATTTAGACTTACCTAATGTAAGTATGTATTTTAATAATATTCTTAACATCTTGAATAGGTCTAAAACGATAAATATGTTTAATATATTGGTATCCAAATTTGTTTTTAAATAATACATATAAAAAAAAAATTATTATAATAATAATATAATAATTCATTGATCTACAACCCTCCCCCCCCCCACCTCTCTTTTTTAAAAATTAATAAACTTACCTTTTTTTTTCTCCTCCTCTCTTTCCTCCACCCCCTCTGAACTGTTCCAAAATAAATTTCTATTTCCCTGTCCAGTATGGGGTGCTACAGCTTTGCTAACTTGATAATTCCGCCCTGTAAGATATTATTTTGATAGTGATGTTTTTTATATCTTAAGGCACTTCATAATGTGGTACATGGAAACTGAACCATGTTACTGCTTTAGTCAAACTCTCCAAACACCACTGTCATTAGTGCATTTCTTAGTGCAGTTATCCCATGCCTGCAATGCAGATGTCATATATTCATTGTTCTGTTGTTATCCCTTGCTTGCAGTGCTAGTGTCAGACATTTATTGATGTAGAAACGTTTTCATGGGTTTATTTTTTTAAATTCTATTTTAAATTATTTTTTTTAATGTAAGGAGGAGCATTATTTTATGAACCACTGATGTTGATGTTACAATTATAATGTTTAAAACACATCAAATCCACCTTTTAAACCCTACTTAAACAATCCTGCTGATTTGAGCCAGTTATTATTTCATTTTAACTTAAGATTTACATATTTTTTTTCATTTTCATTATTTCATAAAAGCATTACACACATTAGGAGTTTTTTTTTTCAAAGTTTTACAACAGCACACCATTATGTGCTCTCATTTGCTGCTCCATGGAGTGAGCTTGATCACATACACACCAGAAGTACATCTAAGCATTGTTGGACACATGGAGCCCCATCTGGAATTATTATTATAAGTTATTCACCTCTTCCTGTATTTTTCACACGCAACATGATTGCGATACCCCAGCTACCATATGTATATATATATATTTCAATCACTATTTGAGTCCATCCCAATTTTACTTCTTGCCCTGTCTCAATAAGCAATACCAAACTATCCCATGTCCCAGTTAAAGACACGTGTTTGCTCTGTTGATGCTCTCATGATACATGTTCCTGCCCCATTATGACAACCTGCAGCTGATGCTGTACCTGTATTTATTGTAAACTTGCTGGATTTCCTGAATGCCTGCACCACACAACGTTCTGGAGATTTCAAAATGTTGCCAGTTGCAATGCAATTTTTTTTTAACAAATATCATGTTGTGTATTAAAATTCTCCATGTTTTTGAATAATTTGTTTGAGGGAAACATCAGATATTAGAAGAATTTTACTTAAATAATTTTTTTTAGGATGCATTTTAAAAAAAAAAAAAGGAAAACAATTTGAGGCCACAGTTTCATGGGCTTGTGCAATATGGAGTGTTGTACACAGTTGTACACTGTTGTACACACAAGCTTATATAAAGAATTAGTTTTATGTGCTTTGAATCTCAGATTAGTTTGATTCATTATTAGCAAGTTTACTTGCATTCCTTATTGTGGACTTTCAGTTTACTGTTCTGTTTTGGGACAAGTGAACGTATGCTGTCCGTGTATAACTGAGTTTGCTAAAGGTTTTAAACTTTAATCCTCATGCAAAGACTTCTGTATCAGAGTGATTTGAAAGATGTTATTAAAAAAAAAATTGATTAGCAGTAGCAGAAAAAGTAGGTTGTAAATGTACAAATCATTCAAGTGTCCAATGAATGCACCACTCAGTTTACTTGAACATCTTTCAAATCACAGCACCCGCCTGTTCTTGCTGTCTTGTAGCTTGATTTTAAAGCTTTGTGTATAATATGCACTGTGAGCCTCTTTCAGTTTCAAACCATGGATGCTGAATTAATTTCTGGGAAATTGCCAGATAAGGTTTTCCCCTTGAATAA